GTGTTTTATGGACACTTTAGCTGCTGTATGATGAAGATAAATATAGCATGTACGACCTCCAAGCTCATTAATAAGGTCTGCTTGATCAAATCCTAGTTGAATGCTCAGTGAACCCAACTGAAGATTAGTGACAGCTAACTTAATCTTCCTTGAGAAGAATATATGGCAACCCTAATGTGGTAAAGCTTACTGTTTTCCTACCACTCACGCTTCATTCACATCATGATGACGGTTGCACTCTGATGATGAGTCACATTCTGCATGTCCTTCAGTCAATTTTGTTGTCTGAAATTTTGCTGCAACAGCAAGCAAACTCGACAGAGAGAGAGAGAGAGAGAGACTGAAAGCTCATGGAACTCCACAATCATGCTCATATTTAAGGTCTAATCACGGAGACAAGCCTCGCACTTGACATGGAATATTAGGCTGTGTTGATTGCTGTCATATGTCACCGGAGCATGACACGATTGATGGAAGCATCACAAACAGCTCATGAACAGCAACGAGGTGGCCATCCATGCATGGGAGAACTGTAGAAGCGTACCCAGCCAAGACTTTTTTTTTGCATCGACGAGGAGGAAGAAGGGAAGGGAGACGACAGGCGCAGCCCCACACCAGCACACATGCAATGGCCGAGGATACTGTGGCCAATGATGATGCGCCCGAGCACAGACCGACGACTCCTGTTGATGAACCGAAAGGAAATGAAAAGGAAGGTGGAGGGCCGCCTGGGTTTGGTGCGATGATGACATCTCAATTGTAGCGGCTGCGTTCGACCCAGTCGTGTGTGTGTGTGTGGGACACATGATGCGTTGTGGGGGAGGGTGTGTTAGGTGGATAACAATGAATGGAGTCTTCCACGCTGATGGCTGATAAATATGCACCGCCGGAGAAGTTTCCACGGAAGAGGGAGATATGTTTTGGGTGGCGGTGGTTGGTGAAGTCAGAAGATCCGTGGTAGATGAGACTTGTGGATGGTAGCAATATTGGAGAGAGAGAGAGAGAGAGAGATGAGCAGCATGAATTGGAGACAAGCCATGGTAGAGAAATAGCTAAGAAATAGTAGGGAGTGGAGAGGACAGAAATGAAATGAAGATAATAAGGTATAATAAATACCATCATCCATATAATTTCTATGAGAAGAATAAGAATTTTTTTTTAGAGAAACTAAACTTGTGTTCAAATCAATCATTGTGTGTGTGTGTATATATATATATATATATATATATATATATATATATATATATATATATATATATGGTTTGGAATAACTCTCCAAGTAATTTTTTAAAAAATAAAATAAAATAAATAAATAGTTAATGAAAAAACTTATAGGGTAATTATAAGTTACATAGGAATCTAGCAATCATAATGGTGTTTATAGGAAAAAATCAACATGCCTTTCTCGATAAGATTTTTTAATCATATATGATTCGATTTTGTAAATATCTCAAAATAAAAATTATGATTGATAGAGAATATTCTAACATCAATCCCAGGTGTATGTTGGCAATCGACGGAATATGACCCGATATCTATCTGACATGGAAGGAAGCTAACCTAATAAGCGACACCCCTTTGGTTGACTCTATGTTGCACGAGACTGTATGAGTCAACGCTGTGCCATAGGAACTCAGACGGGTCGACCCATGCCATAGTGGATGTATGGGTCAGCCACCCACATGATCACGTCGCGCGAGGTACTAGCAATCAGTATCAATCGTCGTACCCCCTAGGCCGTCTCCGTAGGTATAAATATTGGTCCCTAAACTTTTCACACATTTTCACTTACTAATTTAAGCATCAGAGAGGTTGAATCGAGAATCCCCTATGATATCGACCTGTTATGTAGGATCATGATGTAGATCTAGCATGACTCGACTCCACATCAGAACCAACCCCCTGACCCAACCTCACTCTCTCACCCATTCACATGACCTTATGTTTTTCGGATAGGATCAAGTGATGTCGACCCAGACCACTACAACATAAAAGTGCATAACACCAAAATCTAACAATCTCGAATGTCACGAATGATCAAAGATTAGAACCATACAAACAATATTATCTCTGTAGATTAAGAAATCACATTCAATTGTTCAGTCTCTCTATCCCATGCATATAAAAATTGTTAGAACAATGATGTTAATCTCGCGTGAAAGGGATGACAATGCATGAATTTTGGTAACAAATTTATGTTACTATAAAAATAAAACAATTTGGATTCTAATATAATTTTTAGGTTTTAGCAAATTTAGTCTCAAATTTTTAAATAAAAAGTATAAACATGTTAGCTATCACACAATACTTAATAAAATGCAAGCCTCAATCACTCCATAAAACTCAAGGCCATCTCAAAAATCATTACCAATCACTTATAAATCCATAAGAGCAAAAATTAACAATCACTTATAAATCCATTAAGAATCATATTTAACATTTTATATGATTCATACTTAACAAGGAACAAAGAACAATATACAAGCAAATCAAGATCAAATGCAAGGAATAAACTTAAGTGTAGAATCATATTCGATATTTAATTCAATTCATTGATTAAAAAAAGTAAATAACAACACATGAGCTAATTAAGATCATAAGGTATAAACTTTAGAGATATATATGACATTTCATACAATTCATTGATATCAAATAAGCATATAATAACATATAAGCGAACTAAGATCATAATATAATATAAGATACGAGCTCAAGAGACGGGAACACCGAATAATATATTAACAAATTGACATCAAAATGCAAGATAATGAGATCAACTCTGACATCTGTTTCGTATATATATATATATATATATATATATATATATATATATATATATATATATATATATATATATATATATATATATATATATATATATGT